TTATTAGCTGGTCCCAAAGTAGTAGTTTCTCAGTTGGCTGTTCACAGTCAGTTACAGATCAAACTTCCCATTCTATTCTTCCCCCCTTATTATTGCTCTTGACTAATTGTTAAAAAAGAGACCCAGGATTACCAAGTCTCTTAGATTTATATTTATTTCCAGGTTTAACTTACTAGGTCGAGTCTTCTTCTTTTTCTTCCTTTTTTTTTAAATTATTATTTTTGAAACATGGTCTCTCTGTTGCCCTGGCTGGAAGTACAGTGGCATGATCACAGCTCACTGTAGCCTCCACCTCACAGGCTCAGGAGATCCTCCCATCTCAGCTACTGAAGTAGATAGTACTATAGGTGTGAACCACCATGCCTGCCTACTTTTTTAAAAAATTTATTCTGTTAAATAAAGATGGGGTCTCCCTATGTTGCCCAGGCTGGTCTTGAACTACTGGGCTCAAGTGAACCTACCACCTTGACGTCCCAAAGTGCTAGGATTACAGTTGTGACGTTTTTTGTTTGTTTTTCAAGACAGAGTCTTGCTCAGTCACCCAGGCTGGAGTGCAGTGGCGCAATCTCAGCTCACTGCAACCTCCACCTCCCGGGTTCAAGCGATTTTCCTGCCTCAGCCTAGTTGAGATTACAGGCACACCCCACCATTCCTGGCTAATTTTTGTATTCTTAGTAGAGACGGGGTTTCGCCATGTTGGCCAGGCTGGTCTCAAACTCTTGACCTTGTGATCCACCCACCTTGGCCTCCCAAAGTGCTGGGATTACAGGCATGAGCCACCGTGCCCAGCCCGTTTGTTTGTATTTTTTTTTGTCTTGATGTGGTTTTGCCATGTTGCCCAAGCTGGTCCCAAACTCCTAGGATCAAGCAGTCCTTCCACCTTACTCCCAAAGTGCTGAAATTACAGGTGTGAGTTACCACACTTTTTTTTTTTTTGAAGTAATACCTGTCATTAGTATAAACTAAAACTGTATGAAATAATAGTGCAGGGAAAGCTTTGATCTATTTGATCTCTTTAACCAAATCATTAGATTCTCCATTATTCTGAGAGGAAACCCCATGACTAATGCTCCCCTCTCCATGTGACGGCTTACAGCTACTACTAGTAGATTTCTCATTAGGAAACCTCTGAGTATCTGATTTCGCCAGTTGAATTTTGCTTTGCAGAGTCAGTTATGTTAGTTACCAGACGTGATTATGTTATTTGTGCTTTTTGTAATTGTGCAGGCTATTTTATAACAGTTAATCAAATGAGCTAATTGAAATAAATGTTAGATTGAGGAATGTGAGGAATGGAGGAAAAAAGATAATACACCTTGATTTTATTTATCTCTTGTGGTAGAACCATGATCTTATCTTTGAATATGAATCCAATGATGAGAGTGTTGACATCTTTCTTGCATGAACTACACCCATAAGACATTGCCCATGATTTTCAGTTTTTGTTTTGTCCTTGCTTGAGTCCAGGGAGGTTGCAGTGAGCTGTTGTGCCACTGCACTGCAGCCTGAGTGACAGAGGGAGACTCTGTCTTTAAAAAAAAAAAATAACTTAGATACTTTTTAATTGATCTGAGTATAGACTAGATTTTCTCCCCTAGTACTTTGGATCATTTTTTCTTCACTTGATTTGACATGTAGGGGTGTGTGTGTGTGTTTTGCTACCTATCTTTCCATAGCATTCTGCCTAGTTTTCAGTAGAAAATAACTCCCTTTGGTAATGTGATCTTTCATCATACTGTGATTTAGAAAATATGAAAATGGGCATAATTGGATTTGACAATAAATATACATTGGTAAGCTTTGAGAAAAACCCAGAATCGTATATAGAAAACCTTCCCCCAAACTAAGAGGGAGCTAGGAGACCAAAGAATGATTCAGATGAGTCCAGCTTGGCTAATAGATACATTTATTAGGACTAATAAGCTTATTTTTTACAAGGCACTCTGGATGGCAGCAGAACAACTTTAGAGATTCATGCTGCCCTTTTGTCTGTAAACTGTTTTTAAGCTAACTTTCTGGCTCATTGCCTACTGTATTTAAGCGATGAGACTGTTTTTCTTGGTAGGTTCTCAAATACTCTTCGGAATGTTTGAGTTCTCAGGGGCACTGGCTCTTCAGCCTGGCACCATGGTCTTGGCTCATCTCCTGTCCTTCAGGATTCAGGCAGCAGACGTACACCCTCCACTACATAAGCATATATCTCAATTGGTGGGAGCAGAAGTATGCAGGTGCAGGCTTGCTAATAATTTCATAGCCCCAAGTGGCCAGAGTGGCCATAGTTCAGTGGCCATAATCATTCATTGGGTTTTACTGGCAGATTAGAGGATGCCAGATAAGTTAGTGAAGAGAAGCTTTTTTGTTGTTGTTGTTGGGACGGAGTTTCACTCTTGTTGCCCAGGCTGGAGTGCAGTGACGCAATCTCGGCTCACTGCAGCCTCCGCCTTCTGGGTTCAAGTGATTCTCCTGCCTCAGCCTCCCAAGTAGCTGGGATTACAGGCACCTGCCACCACACCCAGCTAATTTTTGTAGTGTTAGTAGAGACGAGGTTTCACCATGTTGGCCAGGCTAATCTCGAACTCCTAACCTCAGTTAATCTGCCATCTTCGGCCTCCCATAGTGCTGGGTTACAGACGTGAGCCACTGCAATCTGGCCTGTTTTTGTTTTTTTACTGTTTTGGATTCTTATGTTGTTTCTAGTTTTACCATAAACAACACTGGTAACAGATTATTAGATGTGAAATTGTTAGGTCAGAGTATTGCACTTAAACATTTCATCAAATTTTTAATCAAATCAAAGCTGTTGCCAAATTGCTTTCACAGAGCTTTTACCAGAGTACACTTGAGAGAGCTGTGAGAGTACCTCTTTTCCCATACCTTTGTCAACCTAGTGTACTATCAAACTTTTTGTTATTTGCTTGTCTTACTATGTTATTGGTGAAAACATGTCAGGAGTCCCGAAGACCACCCCTAAGTTTGATGATTTTCCAGACTTATAGGATTCACTATGTAGTTGTACTCACAGCTATGATTTATTACAATGAAAGGATGCAAAGCACAATCACCAAAGGGAAAAAAGGTCCATGGGGTAAAGTCTAGAGGAAACCACGTTAAAGTTCCCATGGTTTTGCTCCCAGTGGAGTCATGCCCTTAACTGTTTGTTCCCCCAGCAACTAGTGATAGCAGGTGTGAAATGTTGTCTACCTGGGAAGCATGTTGGAGACTCAGTGCCCAGGCTTTTTACTGGGGGCTGGTCACATAGGCCACCTCTGCCTGTCATGTACTAAAATTTTAAGACTCCCAGAAGGATACAGGTGTTTATGATAAACCAAACTGTTTGTATGAACAGTTTAGGCACATCGAGCCACTTCTTATCGGTCTGGAAATTGTGGGAACCCTCCTGAAATTTGAGTTCTTAAACTCCAGCCAAGGGCCTTTGTAAGCAGCCTTTCTAATGATAAGTAGCCATGCCTGGCTATGCCAACACTTTCCTACACAACATGGCATATCTCATTGTTTTAATTTGTGTTTAGTGAAGTCAAACATCTTTTAGTTCCAAAAGCTTTGCTTTTTTTTTTTTTTTTTAATGATTTGTCTGTTTTTTGACCATTTTTCTATTTGGTCTAAGTGATTACCTTTTTTTGGTATCAGTATTTCTTGTTAGTACTAGTGTGTGTGTGTGTGTGTGTGTGTATGTGTGTGTGTGAGTGTGTGGTGATAGTAGCGATGGTTCTTATTTTAGTGCAAAAGTTAATTTGGCTGGGCGCGGTGACTCAGGCTTGTAATCCCAGCACTTTGGGAGGCTGAGGCCAGCGGATCACCTGAGGTCAGGAGTTCGAGACCAGCCTGACAAACATGGAGAAACCCCATCTCTACTAAAAATACAAAATTAGTTGGGCATGGTGGTGCATGCCTGTAATCCCAGCTACTTGGGAGGCTGAGGCAGGAGAATTGCTTGAACCCGGGAGGTGGAGGTTGCGGTGAGCCGAGGTTGCACCATTGCACTCTAGCCTGGGCAACAAGAGCGAAACTCTGTCTAAAGAAAAAAAAAGTTAATTTGTATTTTGGTCTGTTTTATAAAATTAGCATCATTTACTTTGTACATAGCTTAAGTATATTAACAATTTTTTTTTTTTTTTTCTTGAGACAGGGTCTCACTCTGTCACCCAGGCTGCAGTGCAATGGCACTATCTCGGCTCACTGCAACATTTGCCTGCCAGGCTCAAGTGATCCTACTGTTTCAGCCCCCAAGTAGCTGGGACTACAGGCACAGGCTACTACACTCGGCTAATTTTTGTGTTTTTTGTAGAGATGAGGTTTTACCATGTTGCCCAGGCTGGTCTCAAACTCCTGGGCTCAAGTGATCCACCTGACTTGACCTCCCAAAGTGCTGAGATTAGAGGCATGAGCCATCATGCCTGGCCATATTAACAAGTTTAAAATTTTTGCTTTATAGTTTTGACTTTTTACTAGAAAGTATTAGGCACTTTTTTTGATAACACAAATCTGCTTTTAATAATGGTAGAGAGAAAGGCCAGGCACGGGGGCTCACGCCTGTAATCCCAGCACTTTGGGATTCTGAGGTGGGTGGATTGCTTAAGGCCAGGAGTTCAAGACCAGCCTGGCCAACGTGGCAGACAGGCAAAACCCTGTTTCACTAAAATTACAAAAATTAGCCAGGTGTGGTGGTGCACTCCTGTAATCGCAGTTATGGTACACTCCTGTAATCCCAGCTATTCTGTAATCCCAGCTACTCGGGAGGCTGAGGCACGAGAATCACTTGAACCCAGAAGGCAGAGGTTGCAGTGAGCGGAGATCAAGCCACTGCACTCCAACTTGAGCGACAGAGTGAGACTTCGTCTCCAAAAACGAAGAATGATAGAGAGTGAGCTTTTTCAATGTGTCCAAATTTGAAAATTGCTTTTTGTTTTGAAGCTAGGTTTATTCTCTGAATTGTGAGGTTTATTTTAACAGTGGAAATCTAAAAATATTTAATACCGTAGGTGGTGACTTTCAAAAGGAAATAGGATCATGGCAGCAGATGATGACAATGGTGATGGAACAAGTTTATTTGATGTCTTTTCCGGTAAGAGCTACTTTTAATTGTCTTTCTAATTTACTTTTTTGTTTTTTTGGTTTTTTTTAATGAGACAGGATCTCCCCCACTTGCCCAGGGTGGAGTGCAGCGGCGCCATCAATAGCTCACTATGACTTCAGACTTCAGAGCTCAAGAGATCCTCTCGCCTCAGCCTCCTGAGTAGCTAGGACTACAGGCACATGCCAACACGGTCATCTAATCATTTTATTTTTTGTAGAGACAGGGTTTCACTATGTGGTCTAGGCTGGTCTCTAATTCTTGGACTTAAGCAACCCTCCCTTTTTGCCTCCCAAAGTGTTGGGATTACAGGTGTGAGCCACTATTCCTTGCCTAACTTTACTTTTTAAATTACAAAATCATTTACCTATTCTCATTGGAAACATAGTCATTATCAGCCTTTTTTCTCTATACATAAATGAATTAATACAATAAAATGCCTGGTACATGGGAATGCTTAAAAGTGTGAACTTACTGTATGCTTTCAAGCTTCAGAATGTAGTCAAATTAGTGATTTTACTAATATGAATGATAATGATTTTTTTTTTTTTTTTTTTTTTTTTTTTTTTTTTTTTAGTCTCGCTCTGTCGCCCAGACTGGAGTGCAGTGGCCGGATCTCAGCTCACTGCAAGCTCCGCCTCCCGGGTTCACGCCATTCTCCTGCCTCAGCCTCCGGAGTAGCTGGGACTACAGGCGCCCGCCACCTCGCCCGGCTAGTTTTTTGTAGTTTTAGTAGAGACGGGGTTTCACTGTGTTCACCAGGATGATCTCGATCTCCTGACCTCGTGATCCACCCGTCTCGGCCTCCCAAAGTGCTGGGATTACAGGCTTGAGCCACCGCGCCCGGCCCGAATGATAATGATTTTTATTATTATATCTAAAAATATATAAGATAGGTTGTTGTTACTCTTGAAGTTAATATTTCCAGTAAATGCACTGATGGTTGTTTGTTGTTCAGGAAAAAATTGGGCCAGGTGCGGTGTCTCATGCCTATAATCTCAATACTTTGGGAGGCCGAGGCGGGCGGATCACAAGGTCAGGAGTTTGAGACCAGCGTGACCAACATGGTGAAACCCCATCTCTACTAAAAATACAAAAATTAGCCAAGCGTGGTGGCATATGCCTGTAATTTCAGCCACTGCACTCTAGCCTGGACGACAGAGCGAGACTCTTGTCTAAAAAAAAAAAAAAAAAAATTGATAGTCACAATGGATAATTAGTTTGAAAAAGAAATAAATAACTGTCAATACCTGATAGTAAAATAAGCTCATAAAATAGAATTTCTTTTCTTTTCTTTTTTTTTGAGATAGAGTCTTGCTGTTGTTGGCCTGGGCTGGAGTGCAGTGTTGCAGTCTCAGCTCACTGCAACCTCCGTCTCCTGAGTTCCAGCAATTCTCCTGACTCAGCCTCCCGAGTAGCTGAGATTACAGGCGCCTGCCACCATGCCTGGCTAATTCTTATATTTTTAGAAGAGAGGAAGTTTCACCATGTTGGCCAGGCTCATCTCGAACTCCTGACCTCAGGTGATCCACCCACCTTGGCCTCCCGTAGTGCTGGAACTACAGGTGTGAGCCACCACGCCTGGCCCAAAATAGAAATATTTTAAATTATATGCAGAAGATAAACTTCCAGACACTGACATAACATTATTATCTCTTTCTTTTAATGATAATCATGCTGTGACCTCATTGAATTTGTTGAGATATGGGCATATGTTTATTGACCAGTATAGTGATTCCTATGCCATGGAGAGTAGGAAGGGCAGTTATAAAACATGTTTAGTAGAATTCCATTTTTGCCTAAAATAATGTTTTAAACAATTAGTATTCATAGATATGGAAGAGTTCACACCAACTATGGCCATTATAACCATTCTGGGTGGGGTTATTTGGTGTTTATTTTTGCTGATATAGTTTCAAGTTGTTACACTGTAATTCTCTTTTATGTTTTTCCTTTGAAAAATTTTAAGCCAGGCCAGGCGCAATGGCTCTTGCCTGTAATTCTGGCACTTTGGGAGACCGAGGCGGGTGGAGCACCTGAGGTCAGGAGTTCAAGACCAGCCTGACCAACATGGTGAAACTCCGTCTCTACTAAAAATACAAAAATTAGCGGGATGTGGTGGTGCACACCTGTAATCCCAGCTACTCGGGAGCCTGAGGCAGGAGAATCACTTGAACTGGGAGGTGGAGGTTGCAGTGAGCTGAGGTTGTGCCATTGCAGTCCAGCCTGGGGGAAGAGTGAAATTCTGTCTCGGAAAAAAAAAAATTTAAGCCAACAAATAGAAAAATTGGAAATATAATGTAATGAACAGCATTATTTGTCACCTAGATTCACAAATGATTAAATTTTATCACATCTGCAACCATTAAAATTTGAAGGACAAAGCTACAATTTAATCTGATTTTCTGGATGCAGCTGTTTTTATTTCTATGTATCACTGTCAAGTCGCTGTCTATACACATACGTATATATATATATGTTTTTTTTGAGATGGAGTTTCACTCTTGTTGTCCAGGCTGGAGTGCAATGGCGTGATCTAGGCTCACTGCAACCTCCGCCTCCCAGGTTCAAGCAATTCTCCTGTCTCAGCTTCCTGAGTAGCTGAGTTTACAGGTGTGCACCACCATGCCTGGCTAAGTTTTGGTATTTTTAGTGGAGACGGGGTTTCGCCGTATTGGCCAGGCTGGTATCGAACTCCTGACCTCAGGTGATCCACTCACCTTGGTCTCTCAAAGTGCTGGGATTATAGGCGTGAACCACCGCATCTGGCCAGGTTTTTTATTATTATTATTATTATTATTTTCTTTTGAAACGGAGTCTTGCTCTGTCGCCCAGGCTGGAGTACAGTGGCGCAGTCTCGGCTCACTGCAAGCTCTGCCTCCCGGGTTCACATCATTCTCCTGCCTCAGCCTCCTGAGTAACTGGGACTACAGGTGCCCGCCACCACGCCCAGCTAATTTTTTGTATTTTCAGTAGAGACGGGGTTTAACCGTGTTAGCCAGGATGGTCTCGGTCTCCTGACCTCATGAGCCACCCTCCTCGGCCTACCAAAGTGCTAGGATTACATGCGTGAGCCACCACGCCCGGCCTGTATGTGTATTTTTCAGGCTAATCAAGTGAAGCAGTAGGAGAAGCATATACATTTGAAAACTAGTCACAGCTACAGTGTACTTTCTACTTTGTGTCTTGCCTTTTTTTTTTTTTTGGAGACGGAGTCTCGCTCTGTCACCCAGGCTGGAGTGCAGTGGTGCGAACTCGGCTTACTGCAACCTCTGCCTCCCAAGTTCAAGTGATTCTCCTACCTCAGCCTCCAGAGTAGCTGGGATTACAGGTGTGCGCCGCTACGCCTGGCTAATTTTTGTATTTTTAGTAGAGACGGGGTTTCACCATGTTGGCCAGGCTGTTTCTCTAACTCCTGACCTCAGGTGATCCGCCTGCCTCGGCCTCCCAAAGTGTTGAGATTACAGGCGTGAGCCACCTCGCCCAGCCTAGACTCTCTCTTTGTAAACACACACACACATCTAGATGCACACCCGTTTTTTTTTCATGACCATTTGAGAGTAAGTTACATACATTATGGCCCCTTACCCCTAAGTATTTCAGTATGTACTTCATAAGAAAAGGTTGGTTCTCTTATATACAGTGTAATTTCAGTTTCATTAGATTTAACACTGATAAAATACTTTTGTATTTGATTTGCTATTTTTATTCCAGTGAATAATGTTCTTTATTATTGTAGTTGGATTTAGGTCATTTTAATATTTGAGTTTAATTTGTCGCATCAGTTATTTTTTCTGATTTCTTTCAAATATTTGAATATTTACTTATTTAAAATTTTTTTCTCCCTTTAGCACTAGTGCTAACTGCTAGTAATGTTTGAGTGTATTTTTGAATTGCATTTCATTTATGAGCTTTTTCACTGTACCTCTTTGTATTATTTTTAGTACTTGTTCGAGGAAGTGTGTACATCTTTAACATTTTGTAGTCTGTTTACTAGTATTGTACCTTTTTACATGAAATATAGAATCTTGCATGTATAGTTGCATCTATCTGCTCCCTTGCCTTTCATGTTATGAACCCCACAATAAAATGCTAGTGTTTACTGGGCTGGGTGTGGTGTCTCACGCCTGTAATCCCAGCACTTGGGGAGGCCGACGCAGGTGGATTGCCTGAGCACAGGTTCAAGACCAACCTGGGCAACATGGTGAAACCCTGTCTCTACCAAAATACAAAAAATTAGCCGGGTGTGGCGGTGTGCGCCTGTAGTCCCAGCTGTAGGCTGACGCAGGAGAATTGCTTGGACCTGGGAGGCAGAGGGCGGAGGTTGCAGCGAGCCGAGATCACACTGCTGCACTCCATTCTGGGCGACAAAGCGAGACTCTGTCTCAAAAAAAAAAAAACTATAGTGTTTACTGTAACAGTTCTATGGATCTTAAAGAAATTAAGAAGAAAAATTAGTCTTTTATGATTACTCATTTATTTATCATCTCCAGTTCTAGCATTCTTTGGTATCCTTCTAGTAGCAGTTTCTCCCCATTCTCTATTTGCTTCTGGACTCCAGATATACATTATGTAAGAACTTTTGATATTATCATGTGAGTCACTAAGACTCAGTTCTTTTTTAAGAAAGTCTCTCTCATCTACAGATTGGGTAATTTCTGTTGATCTGTCTTCAAGTTCAGTGGTTCTCCTGTCAAGCACATCCAGTAATTTTTTATATTACATATTGTAATCTTCAGTTATAGGTTTTTCCTTTGGTTCTTTTTCATTGTTTCTGAGATTTTCTGTGTAGTAAGTTTGTGCTTGTCTGTGTGGTTTTTTTGGAGACAAGTTCTTCCTCTGTCAGCCAGGCTGGAGTGTAGTCGCATGAACATGGCTCACTGCAGCCTTGACCTCCTAGGTTCAAGTCATCCTCCTGCCCCAGTCTCCTGAGTAGCCAGGACTACAGGCATCTGCCACCATGCTCAAGCTAATTTTCATTTAATTTTTTCGTAGAGACAGAGTCTCACCATGTTACCTAGGCTGATCTCAAACTCATGGGCTCAACCAATCCTGTGGCCTTGGCCTCCCAAAGTGCTGGGAATACAGGTGTGAGTCACTGTACCTGGCCACCATGTAGTAACTTTGGATTGTATAGTCAACATTATAAATGAAATGTGAGACACTGGATGCTGTTAACATTCCTCTGAAGAGTTGTTTTTAATTTTAGCAGATACTTAACTTAGCTGAACTTGTGATTCGGTCCCTTCTGTAATAGCAACTGAAATCTCTGTTTTAGGTTTAGCTGGCTTTTTGGAGTTCTACCCTTTTTTGAGAGTCACCCAGAGATTTGGGCAGAATTTAGGTAATGCTCTTTGTGGATTTCTGTAATTCCCCTTTCGTGTACTAGTGACTGTTACGACAAATTCTTTTCTCCAGTTCTTCAAGCTACTAAAGGACTGGAGGTTTCTATCTTGAGTTGTCACTGCCCAGTATAGCTACAACTAGGGCCTGTCTTTCTACAAAAAGCAGTAATAAAAGGGGACAGGGAACTTGGGAGGTGCTATTTTCTTTCAGTTGTCACTACCCTTTCAGTTTTTGCCTGCTTTAGGGTATACTCTAGCTCTTTAGATAGCTTCGAATATTTTATTTAGTGTTTACAGTAGTTATCTGCAGGAGGATTGGTTTTGTAGAAACTACTCCACTGTAACTGGTATTGGAACTCTTTCAGTAGAATATATATATGAGACAGGATCTCGCATTGTCACCCAGGCTGGAGTGCAGTGGCAGAGTCATGGCTCTCTGCAGCCTTGACCTTCTGGGGTCAGGCAGTCCACCTCAGCCTCCCATGTGCCACCACACCTGGCTAAATTTTTATTTTTGATATGCTGTGTTGTCCAGGCTGGTCTTGATCTCCTGAGCTTAAGCAATCCGCCTGACTCAGCCTCCCAAAGTGCCAAGTTTATAGGCGTGAGCCACCGTGCCTGGCTTATCTCTTTTTTAAAGCAAAACTATTAAGTCTCTTTCTTTTCCTGGTCCTTCAGTGTAGGAATGGAAAAATCGCAGTGCCTAAAGTCATTTTTAACTAGTCTTTGCCTTTCTTGCAGCTTCTCCTCTTAAGAACAATGATGAAGGCTCATTGGACATATACGCTGGGTTGGACAGTGCTGTTTCTGGTATGTGAATTCCATAAAAATAGTTTCATTTTTTTGGTCAGTTCATTGTGTGTGTTTGTGGTTACCAAATCCTGGTATATCATAGCTCCTAAACAATTTGCCCATTCTTTGTAATTACACTGAGGTAATTCTTTTCTTTCTTTTTCCCCCACAATAGCTTCCAGAACCCAATCTTAACCAAAGCTTGATCAGAAAAACAAATTAGCAAACAGGTTTATTCATCTCGGTCTCAGATTTGATTGAGCCTTGTGCAAAAACATTTTCTAATATTGAAGTGCAACTAGTGCTGGTGTCTGTTACTACTCACTTATACTCTTTTTTTTTTTTGAGACAGAGTCTTACTCTGTCGCCCAGGATTAAGTGCAGTGGCTTAATCTCGGCTCACTGCAACATCCGCCTGCCAGGTTCAAGTGGTTCTCCTGCCTCAGCCACCCAAGTAGCTGGGACCACAGGCACGTGCCACCACGCCCAGCTAATTTTTTTGTATTTTTAGTAGAGACAAGGTTTCACCATGTTAGCCTGGATAGTCTCGATCTCCTGACCTCGTGATCTGCCCGCCTCTGCCTCCCAAAGTGCTGGGATTACAGGCATAAGTCACCACACCTGGCTGCACTCATACTCTTGTGGGTTATATGATATTAGAACATTTGAAAAGTGTAAGTTACTATAAGTATTTTTAAATGTATCAGTAAGAGTGATATGCTGAGAATCTAATGACCTATTCAAATTAGAAACCTTTTCCATAATCAGATTTCTTAAAGTTTTGAACAGTTATGATCTTCATACCTAATTTGGTTGACAACAACCATTTACGTAAATTGGTAGTCCATCTGTAAAATCAGTATAAATTTGGAATGTAGGAGAAGTGAAATGTAGGATGAAGTATAGGAGATGGAGAAATGTATAATCTTTGAAGTAGACAAAATATCAAAAAGTGTAACAAGGCTGGGCACTGTGGCTCACGCCTGTAATCCCAGCACTTTTGCAAGGCTGAGGCAGGCGGATCACCTGAGGTCAGGAGTTCGAGACCAGCCTGGCCAACATGGCGAAACCTTGTTTCTACTAAAAATACGAAAAAAAAATTAGCTGGGTGTGGTGGCATGTGCCTATAGTCCCAACTACTCAGGGAGGCTGAGGCAGAAGAATCACTTGAACCCAGGAGGCGGAGGTTGCATTGAGCCAAGATCGCGTGACTGCGCTCCAACCTGGACGACAGAGGGAGACTCCATCTCAAAAAAAAAAGAAGGTGTAACAAATATTTTCACTTTGAGAGGCCAAGGCAGGTAGATTTCTTGAGGTCAAGAGTTCGAGACCAGCCTGGCCAACATGGTGAAACACCGTCTCACCATCTCTACTAAAAATACAAAAATTAGTGGGGCGTGGGGGTGTGCACCTGTAATCCCAGCTACTTGGGAGGCTGAGGCATGAAAATGGCTTGAACCTTGGAGGGTGATGCTACAGTGAGCCAAGATTTGCACCACTGCCACTGCACTCTAGCGTGGGTGACAGAATGAGACTCAAAAAACAAAACAAAAAAGTATAACAAGTAATTTAATGGAAGGTTTTTTTGTTTGTTTGTTTGTTTTTAGACAGTGCTTCCAAATCCTGTGTACCATCAAGAAATTGTTTGGACTTATACGAAGAGATCCTGACTGAAGAAGGAACTGCAAAGGAGGCAACATATAATGATGTATGGGTTGCTACAATTATTAAGGACAGTTATTTACTATTTTGTAGCTTCTGAAGAACAGTCAACTGCTTAGTTTTGAACAAATATTTTGTTTAGGAACTTAGCTCTTAGATTAATAAATATTTAAGTCAGTTTTTGTCTTCAGACCTGCTTTTTAAAGGAATGTTTTCTGAATACTTGTCTAAATTTAGTTACAGTTTTGCTTCCCAATTTAAGCATCTCAGTATGAAACCTCAACAGGCAAACAGTATTATAACATTTTTTCTTTTCATAATATGTACAAAGTTAAATTATATGTTGCATAAAATGTCCTGAGACTTGTATTTCTTTCTACTATATTTGAATTTTAAGGTTTGGATGTTGAATGTGAAACTAAACAAAATAGATTATTTGTAGGCTTAACTTTAAAACTGGTGATCTTTCTGGTAGAAGTAGACCTCATCTGCCTTCTTAGTGAATTGATTTGCAAATTTTAAAATATTTTGAAATGCCAATTAAACTAAGAAAATAATTTTGAATGATAATCCTTTTATATTTTATAGTTGCAAGTAGAATATGGAAAATGTCAACTGCAAATGAAAGAGCTGATGAAAAAGTTTAAAGAAATACAGACACAGGTAGGGTATAAATGAAAACATAAAAAACAAATTACCAGGCACAGTGACTCACACCAGTAATTTCAACACTTTGAGAGGCAGAGGTGGGAGGTTTGCTTGAGGCTAGGAGTTTGAGCCCAGCCTTGGCAAGGTAGCGAAACCTCATCTCTACAAAAAATTAAAACAATTAGCTGTGTATGGCCCCCCTAGCTACTTAGGAGGCTGAGGAGGGAGGACCCTTGAACTCAGGAATTTGAAGTTACAGTGAGCTGTGATTGTGCCACTGCACTCCAGCCTGGGTGACAGAGGAAGACACTAGCACTTAAAAAAAAAAAAAATAGTTATTATAAATAGAAATTAAAATGTTAAAGTGTTGACAGTTTATAAAAAAGCTTTCTTTTAGTATTAAATGAAATAGCAAATGTGGCAAGAATGCATTATTTCCTGAGTTGATGAAATTGAATGAAATAGCAAATATGGCAAATATGCATTATTTCCCGAGTTGATGAAACTGATAAAACAGCTTGATTTGTTAAATGACATTGATATAAAGGGTCTGTTAGACTTAGGTCAATTAATAGTTAATTAATAGAAAATTTGTGGAGATGATGACAACTGGTTTAAAACAAATGGTTTTGAGGAACAAAGATATGGGTCTAAAATGGCTCTTGGGGGACACTGATGATGCCGTCACAGCTTTTGCCAGAATGACCCATTTTGTGACTGCACTGCAAAAATCAGGAATGTCATGTCCTGTTCTAGTTATCACTTTTTGGTAAAATTGTTTCTCTTCCTTCTCTTTCCCCTGAAAGAACCAGTGAACTATCAATTCTTTCTTAGTTTATCTTAGGGACTAATACATCTTTTTTTTTTTTTTTTGACGGAGCCTTGCTCTGTTGCCACGCTGGAGTGCAGTGGCACAATCTTGGCTCACTGCCGTCTCCAGCTCACTGCAACTTCCACCTCCCACGCTCAAGTGGTTCCCCTGCCTCAGCCTCCCAAGTAGCTGGGATTATGGGCACCCGCCATGACACCTGGCTAATGTTTGTATTTTTAGTAGAGACAGGGTTTCAGCATGTTGGCCAGGCTGGTCTTGAACTCCTGACCTTAGGTGATCCACCCGCCTCGGCCTCCCAAAGTCCTGGGATTACAGGCATGAGTCACCGCACCCAGACCGGACTAATACATCTTTGCAAGTTTAACCAAAGCTGTTGAATATAACCTAATTCTTATCATTTCTATTTTCAATTTTCAAGATCATGGCCAGGTAGAACTTACTTTTTCTGCTGTTCATTGGTTTTTCATTTCAATCTCTGTTTTAAGTAGTTTCACTTTAAGTGGGACTATTTCTGGTGCCAGTTATCTTCTCATAGTCTCAGCTTCCCCACCTGTATAAGGGGGATAATAGTACTCCTCATGGCTTATAAATGTGTGATGCCTGCATGTAGTTAACATTCAATAATTATCAGCTAATATATGTAGTAGTATTAGTAACCCTGTAGGTATGTACTTTATTAATATATTTTGTGGTGTTTTAGAATTTCAGCTTAATAAACGAAAACCAGTCTCTTAAGAAGAATATTTCAGCACTTATCAAAACTGCCAGGGTGGAAATAAACCGCAAGGATGAAGAAATAAGTAATCTTCACCAAAGGTATTACTGAGCGGTGTAGTTGTTATAAATTACGTGGGTATCGATATGTGGAATATTTTTAACTTTGAGAGGAAAGATGAAAATAATGTTTTTTGTTTTCTGTTTGTTTTTTTTTTTTTCCAGAGACAGGGTCTCATTTTGTCACCCAGGCTGGAATGCAGTGGTGTAATTATAAGTCAGTGCAACCTCCACCTCCTGGGCTCAAGGGATCCTCCTTCCTCAGCCTTCGAAGTAGCTGAGACAACAGTTGTACAACACCATGTCTGCCTGATTTTTTTATTTTTTATTTTTGGTGGAGACAGGGTCTCACTATGTAGCCCACACTGGTCTTGAACTCCTGGCCTCAAGTGATCCTACTGCCTCTGCCTCCCAAAGTGTTAGGATTATAAGGGTGAGCCACCATGCCTGGCCCATATGTGATTATTAATAGAACATTGTGGCCAGGCTCAGTGGCTCGTACCTGTAATCCCAGCACTTTGGGAGGCTGAGGGGGACAGGTCACTCGAGCTCAAGAGTTGTAGACCAGCCTGGCCAACAGGGTGAAACCCTGTCTCTACTAAAAATACAAATATTTGGCTGGGTGCAGTGGCTCATGCCTGTAATCCTAGCATTTTGGGAGGCCAAGGCGGGCAGATCATCTGAGGTCAGGAGTTCGAGACCAGCCTAACCAACATGGTGAAACCCCATCTCTATTAAAAGAAAAATACGAAATTCGCTGGACATGGTGGTGCATACCCAGAATCACAGCTACTCGGGAGGCTGAGGCAGGAGAATCTCTTGAACCCAGGAGGCAGAGGTTGCCGAGATTGTGCCATTGCACTCCAGCCTGGGCAACAAGAGTGAAACTCCATCTCAAAAAAAAAAAATTAGCCAGGCGTGGTGGTGGACACCTATAATTCTACCTACTTGGGAGGCTGAGGCAAGAGAATCACTTGAAGCTGGGAGCAGAGGTTGCAGTGAGCTGAGGTCATACCACTGCATTCCATCCTTGGTGACAGCCTGACTCCATCTCAAAAGAAAAGGAAGCAAATAAAAATAGAACATTGCTACATATTTCTCTGAATATATTTAGTTTCCTAAAACACTGAGTTCTTGCTCTACTACTATTTGCCCTGATGAGATGATGGTCTATATGTCATGGGTTCTTCTAGGTCCCCACTAAATTACTAAAATATCAAGAGGGCATCTGTGCTCATGTACCCTATTAATCAGCAGCCTTTATACTATCCCTCAATTGTATATTCTTTCCTCTCGCAAGGGGATTTTCTCCATTAATTTCTCTCTTTTATTGGTTGGAGGCAATGTTTTGCTCCGGAGAGAAGTTCATATCTTCATAGCCAAACCTCTGAAAAAGTTGTCTAAACTTGTTTTCATTTTCTTTCTTTCTACTAACTCACTTTGTTTTTTTTTTTTTTTGAGATGGAGTCTCACTCTGTCGCCAGGCTGGAGTGCAGTGGCACAATCTTGGCTCACTGCAACCTCCCCGTCCTGGGTTCAAGCAGTTCTCCTGCCTCAGCCTCCTGAGTAGCTAGGACTACAGGCACGTGCCACCATGCCCAGCTAATTTTTATATTTTTAGTAGAGATGGGGTTTTACCATGTTGGCCAGGATGGTCTTGATCTCTTTACCTCATGATCCGCCCACCTCAGCCTTCCAAAGTGCTGGGATTACAGGCATGAGCCACTGTGCCCAGCTTTTTTTTTTTTTTTCGAGACAGAGCCTCACTCTGTTGCCCAGGCTGGAGTGCGATGGTGCAGTCTCGGCTCACCACAACCTTTGCCTCTCAGGTTCAAGCAGCTCTGCCTCCCGAGTAGCCAGGATTACAGGCACTCGCCACCACACCCGGCTAATTAAAGAAAAATTTTGTTTTATATTTTGAGACAGAGTCTCGCTTTGTTGCCCAGCTGGAGTGCAGTGGCGTGATCTCAGCTTACTTCAACCTCCACCTCCTGGGTTCAAACATTATCTTGCCTCAGCCTCCTGAGTAGCTGGGATTACAGGCACCCGCCACCACGCTGGTTAATTTTTGTATTTTTAGTAGAGACAGGGTTTCACCATGTTGGTCAGGCTGGTCTCAAACTCCTGACCTCAGGTGACCCACCTGCCTCAGCCTACCAATGTTCTGGGATTACAGGCATGAGCCACTGCACCCAGCCTACACCCAGCTAATATTTTTGTGTTTTTAGTAGACACGGACAGGGTTTCACTATGTTGGTCAGGCTGGTCTTGAACTCCTGACTTCAGGTGATCCACCCATCTTGACCTCCCAAAGTGCTGAGATTTCAGGCATGAGCCACCTGTGCCCAGCTTTTTTTTTTTTTTTTTTTTTAAGGCAGAGTGTTGCCCAGTGCAGTGGCGTGATCTCAGCTCATTGCAACCTTTGCCTGCTGGGTTCAAGTGATCCTCCCACCTCAGCCTCCCCAGTAGCTGGGATTACAGGCATGCACCACCTGTAAAAAATTTAAGAAAAAAAAACAAAAAACAATGGTTTTTTGTATTTTTAGTAGACAGGGTTTCACGATTTTGTCCAGGCTGGCCTCGAACTCCTGACCTCAAGTGATCTGCCTGCCTTGGCCCTCCAAAGTGCTGGGATTACAGGCATGAGCCACTGCACCCAGCTTCAAGGGTGTTCCTTTTATGGTTAATGCTTTTCGTGTTTACATTTCCCCAGTGATCTCAAAGGTATCTACCAACAGTTGGTCGGTTGAGTCAGTATCTATATTGGTTTCCTGGGTTAGTGTAACAAAACTACCAGAAATGGGTGGCCTAAACAACCAAAATTTGTCTCACAGTTCTGGAGGCTAGAAGTCCAAAATGAAAGTGTCAGCAAAGTTAGTTTCTTTTGAGGGCTCTGAAGGAAGGATCTGATTCAGGCCTCTGCAGTTGTAGATGGTTGTCTACTTCCTGTGTCTCCTAGGACATCACTTTAACTTGATTACTTCTGTAAAGACCCTTTAAATAAGGTCATATTCTGAAGAACAATGGGTTAGAACTTCAAATTATGAATTTGGTCAGGAGAGGGGACACAATCAACTCATAACAGGGTTCATATGAGGTTTACATATTGTTTTAGGTTGTATGTTTTTCTAATCCTCTTTTAACAATCGCCCTATATTTCTGATTTTTTTAAGTTTTGGGTTTTTCTACACATTTAATACTGATTAGAAATAGATATATGAAATTTCAAAGAAATTATAGAAGTTCAGGAAGATGAAGTTATTACCAGAAGCTAAAATGGGCCAGGCACGGTGGCTCACACCTGTAATTCCAGTACTTTGGGAAGCAAAGGCAAGAGAATTGCTTAAGTCCGGGAGTTTGAGACCAGCCTGCGCAGCATAGTGAGATCCCATCTCTACGAAAAATTTAAGATTAGCTGGGCATGGTGGCGTGTGCCTATAGTCCCAGCTACTTGGGAGGTTGAAGTGAGAGGATTGCTTGAGCCTAGGATATCAAGGCTGCAGTGAGCCATGATCATGCCGCTGCACTCAGCCTGGGTGAAAGAGGGAGACCCTGTCTCCAAAAAAAAAAAGCTAAATTGAGCTATCTGCATTTTATTGCTAGGAAACCTACCAGTTTTTTTAAACACTAATATAAAACCTTAAGACTTAGATTTTTGTTTGTTTTAAACAGTAAATATATACCATTCTCCTAGGAAAGAATTACAACTCTTTATTCCTTTTTACTTTTGCATAGTATGTAACGCCTTAAGATGGCCATTGGTGCTTTGGCTTGCTATGGGATTGTATGTGAAACAGAAAAACTACGGTAGAGAATTATGTAGAGTTTTACTTTGATCATGTCTGTTGTTTAGCAAGATTTTACTTTTCCTTGTGTTTCAGTTGAGCCAGAATGAATAAGGCAAGAAAATAATGTCACTTGTTCTAAAAGAAGTGAACTTGTGGTTAGCTGGGGAGTTATGCACTGTGGTGAAGTAAGTCTGAGAGCCATTGGCAAGTATTGGGATAGATCCTCAGGTCCTCAAAACTTATTTGAGCAAAGCACATGAAAGAGAATTTCATGTTTTAAAAACAGGCTAATTTAGTTGGAAGCTGGTAATTTCTTTTTCTTCTTTTTTTTAGGGACAGGGTCTCACTTCGTTCTGTCACCCAGGCTGGAGTGCAATAGCGCAGTCATGGCTCACTGCAGCCTCAACCTCCTGGTCTTAAGTGATCCTCCCACCTCAGCCTTCCAAGTAGCTAGGACCACAGGCATGTACCACTATGCCTGACTAATTAAAACAAAAAATTTTTTTAGAGACAGGATGTCACTATGTTGCCCAGGTTGATCTTGAACTCCTGGGCTCAAACAAGTGATCCTCCTGCCTTGGCCTCCTAAAATGCTGGTATTACAGGCATGAGCCACCACACCTGGCCAAAGCTGGTAATTTCTTTCTCAACCAGGAGGTTGAGGCTGAGACAGAGTCTTGCTCTGTCACCCAGGCTGGAGTACAGTGGCACAGTCTCAGCTCACTGCAACCTCTGCCTCCCAGGTTCAAGCAATTCTCCTGCCTCAGCCTCCCAAGTAGCTGGGATTACAGGTGCCTGCCACCATACCTGCCTAATTTTTTTGTATTTTTGGTAGAGACGGGGTTTCACCATGTTGGCCAGGCTGATCTCGAACTCCTGACCTCAAGTGATCCACCTGCCTTGGCCTCCCAAAGTGCTGGGATTACAGGCATGAGTCACCATGCCTGGCCAAAGCTGGTAATTTCTTAATCATGAATTACTCATGTGAATAAAGTTTGGAATATTGCAAATATAATTTAACTTTGTTTTTTTTGTTTTTATTTCTCAATAGACTGTCTGAGTTTCCACATTTTCGAAATAATCATAAAACCGCAAGGACATTTGATACAGTTAAAACAAAAGATCTTAAATCTAGATCTCCACATTTGGATGATTGTTCAAAGACTGATCACAGAGCTAAAAGTGACGTTTCTAAAGATGTACATCATAGCACTTCACTGCCAAATCTGGAAAAGGAAGGAAAATCACATTCTGATAAAAGGAGTACTTCACATTTACCTATATCTGTCGAGAAACACTGCACTAATGGTGTTTGGTCGCGTTCTCATTATCAGGTTGGTGAGGGTAGCTCAAATGAGGATAGTAGAAGAGGAAGAAAAGATATTAGACATAGCCAGTTCAACAGAGGAACTGAAAGAGTACGAAAAGACTTAAGTCCTGGCTGTGGTGATGGTGAACCAAGGATAGTGGAGGCTAGTCAAAGGCTACAAGGACACCCTGAGAAATATGGTAAAGGTGAACCAAAGACTGAAAGCAAAAGTTCAAAGTTTAAAAGTAACTCAGATTCTGACTATAAAGGTGAACGCATTAACTCTTCTTGGGAGAAAGAGACCCCTGGAGAAAGGTCACACAGTCGAGTAGACTCTCAAAGTGACAAAAAACTAGAAAGACAAAGTGAAAGATCACAAAATATAAATAGGAAAGAAGTTAAATCACAAGACAAAGAAGAAAGAAAAGTTGATCAAAAACCTAAGTCAGTAGTAAAGGACCAAGATCACTGGAGAAGATCTGAACGAGCATCACTTCCTCATTCCAAGAACGAAATAACAACATTTTCTCATAATTCAAGTAAATACCATGTAGAAGAGAGAAGAGGATGGGAAGATTGTAAAAGAGACAGGAGTGTAAACAGTCATAGTTTTCAAGATGGAAGATGTCCATCTTTTCTTTCAAACAGTAGAACTCACAAAAACATTGACTCTAAGGAAGCTGATGCTATGCACCAGTGGGAAAACACACCTTTAAAAGCAGAAAGACATAGAACCGAAGATAAGAGGAAAAGAGAACGAGAAAGCAAAGAAGATAATAAGCATATTAGAAATGAAAAAAGAGTACCTACAGAACATTTTCAGAAGGTTAATAAGGAAACTAAAAAAACCACTTCTGATTTAAAGAAACAGAATGAACCAAAGACTGATAAGGGAGAAGTCCCTGATAATGGAGTTTCTGAAGGAGCACATAATAAAGAGCTTGCAATGAAAGCTGAGAATGGTCCAAATGAAACAAAAAACAAAGACCTAAAATTGAGTTTTATGGAAAAATTGAACTTAACTCTTTCTCCTGCTAAAAAGCAACCTGTTTCTCAGGATAATCAGAATAAAACAACTGATGTTCCCAAGTCCAGTGGTGTATGTGATTCAGAGTGTTCAGTGCAAGCTAAAACAGTGGCATATGTTCCCTCCGTCAGTGAACATATCTTGGGGGAAGCCTCTGTCAGTGAACATACCATGGGGGAAACGAAGTCATCATTATTGGAACCAAAGGTTGCTCTTTTAGCAGTAACTGAACCCAGGATTGGTATCTCAGAAACCAAAATGGAAGAAGAAAATAGTTTGTTAGTTAGATCTGTTGACAATACTATGCATTGTGAAGTGCCCATTTGTGGTACAGAGACTTCCTTCCCATCTCCTATGGAAATACAACAGACAGAATCCTTGTTTCCATCAACAGGAATGAAACAAACCATTAATAATGGAAGGGCAGCAGCTCCTGTGGTAATGGATGTATTACAAACAGATGTGTCTCAAAACTTTGGATTGGAATTGGATACCAAAAGAAATGATAATTCAGATTCTTGTGGTATTTCTGAAGGTATGGAAATGAAGGTAGCACTTTCAACAACAGTGGGTGAAACCACTGAAAGCATTTTGCAGCCTTCAATTGAGGAAGCTGATATTTTGCCAATGATGCTTTCAGAAGATAATAACCCAAAATTTGAGCCTTCTGTTGTAGTTACACCACTTGTTGAGAGTAAGTCATGTCATTTGGAGCCTTGCTTACCTAAAGATACTCTAGATTCTTCACTTCAGCAGACTGAGTTAATGGACCACAGAATGGCAACTGGTGAAACAAACTCAGTATATCATGATGATGATAACTCGGTTTTGAGCATTGACCTTAATCACCTGAGACCTATTCCAGAAGCTATCAGCCCTCTGAATAGTCCAGTGAGACCTGTAGCAAAAGTTCTTAGAAATGAAAGCCCACCTCAAGTTCCAGTATATAATAACAGTCATAAAGGTAATAGTTTATATTCTATAACTTTGCTTTTTTTGAGAATGTAAAATACATAAGATAAATTGGTGATATTCTTTTTTGATAACATAAAAAGTAGGCCGGGCACAGTGGCTCACGCCTGTAATCCCAGCACTTTGGGAGGCTGAGGCAGGTGGATCACGAGGTCAGGAGATCAAGACTATCCCGGCTCACACAGTGAAACCCCGTCTCTACTAAAAATACAAAAAAATTAGCCGGGCCTGGTGGCAAGTGCCTGTAATCCCAGCTACTGAGGAGGCTGAGGAAGGAGAATGGCGTGAACCCAGGAGGTGGAGCTTGCAGTGAGCAGAGATTGTGCCACTGTACTCCAGCCTGGGTGACAGAGCAAGACTCTGTATCAGAAAAAAAAAAGCCAAGCGTATTATTCAGCCTCTGTTATCTAGACGTGCACATGGAAGGTTTTTTGTGTGTGTTTTTTTTTTTTAGATGAAGTTCACTCTGAGGCTGGAGTGCAGTGGTGTGATCTTGGCTCACTGCAACCTCCGCCTACTGAGTTCAAGCAATTCTCCTGCCTCAGCCTCCCAAGTAGCAGAACTACAGGCACGTGCCACCACTCCCAGCTAATATTTTTTTTTTTTTTTTTTTTTTTTTGTGAGACGGAGTCGAGCTCTGTCGACCAGGCTGGAGTGGCAGTGCCAGAATCTCAGCTCACCCTGCAAGCTCCACCTCCCGGGTTTAACGCCATTCTGTGGCTCAGCTCCCGAGTAGCTGGGACTACACGGCGCCTGCCACCTCGCCCGCTGAGTTTTTTGTATTTTTTAGTAGAGACGGGTTTCACCGTGTTTAACCAGGATGGGTCTCGATCTCCTGACCTTGTGTGCCCCGTCCGCCTCCCAAAGTGCTCGGGATACAGGCTTGAGCCACCGCGCCTGGCCTCCCAGCTAATTTTTATATTTTTTTTTTAGTAGAGATAGGGTTTGACCATATTGGCCAGGCTGGTCTCGAACTCCTGACCTTGTGATCTGCCCGTCTTGGCCTCCCAAAGTGCTGGGATTACAGGCGTGAGCCCCCACACCCAGCCAGAGTTGTTTTTTTGTTTGTTTGTTTGTTTGTTTTTCTGAGACAGAGTCTCACTGTGTCGCCAGGCTGCAGTGCAGTGGCGTGATCTCGGCTCACTGCAACTTCTGCCTCCCAGCCCAAGTGATTCTCCTGCCTCAGCCTCCCAAGTACCTGGGATTACAAGCACCCGCCACCATGCCCGGCCCTGAGCACTTTTTGAAACCAATAAAAACCAGAGATACAGGCCTGTATCTCTGTGGTGGCTCACACATGTAATCCTAGCAGTTTGGGAGGCTGAGGCAGGTGGATCATGAGGTCAGGAGTTCGAGACCAGCCTGGCCAACATGGTGAAACCCTGTCTCTACTAAAAATACAAAAATTAGCTGGGCATGGGGGCAGGCGCCTGTCATCCCAGCTACTAGGGAGGCTGAGGCAGGAGAATTGGCTTGAACCCAGGAGGTAGAGGTTACAGTGAGCCAAGATTGCACCACTGCACTCCAGCCTGGGTAACACAGCAAGACTTCTCAAAACAAAATCAATGATGCAAGTATTAGGCATTAACATTCTGCTTCAAAAAGAACTAGTAAAATAGTGAATTGCCTCAGTATTTAATTTTTTGTTACATGTAATATTTAATATGGACATGTCAAATGACTAAACTTTAATATATTTTTATCTTCTATAAATGTATTTAATATATTTTTCTCTTCTACAGATGTGTTTTTACCAAATTCAGCTCATTCTACCTCTAAGAGTCAGTCTGATCTCAATAAGGAAAATCAAAAGCCAATTTACAAATCTGACAAATGTACAGAAGCAGACACATGTAAGAATTCACCATTAGATGAATTAGAAGAAGGGGAAATTAGAAGTGATAATGAAACATCTAAACCACAAGAAAGTTTTGAAAAAAATTCCAAGCCTAGAGCGTCGGCTGATGTGCGGAAGTCAAAGACTATCCCACGACATGGGAAAAGTACTGTGGGTTTGGATAAAGACGGTAGGAAAACACATGTAAGAATCCATCAGACCAATAACAAATGGAATAAAAGACCTGATAAATCTAGCAGATCTTCAAAAACGGAGAAGAAAGATAAAGTGATGAGCACTTCCAGCTTGGAAAAAATAGTTCCAATTATTGCTGTACCCTCTTCTGAACAAGAGATCATGCACATGTTACGAATGATAAGAAAACATGTAAGGAAAAATTATATGAAATTCAAGGCAAAATTTTCATTAATACAATTTCATAGAATTATTGAGTCAGCAATTTTGAGTTTTACATCTCTAATTAAACATCTCAACTTACATAAAATCTGTAAGTCAGTGACTACCTTACAGAAGAATCTCTGTGATGTTATAGAGTCTAAACTTAAGCAAGTTAAAAAGAATGGCATAGTTGATCGTTTATTTGAACAGCAGCTACCAGATATGAAAAAAAAATTGTGGAAGTTTGTAGATGACCAACTTGATTATTTGTTTGCAAAACTTAAGAAAATCTTAGTTCAGTTTTGTGATTCCAAAAACTTTGGAAGAGATAGTGATGAAGGCAAACCTGAAAAAACAAGTAAACAGAATGCACAGTTTTCAGATTGTCAGAAAGGGAGTGGGTACAACTCCAACAAAGAATTGCTGAAAAAAAAATTATCAAAATCAGAAGACTGTGTTCATAATAAGTCTTTAGTGGGATGTAAAAAATCTGAGGAAAAATATCAAGACCAAAATAACTCCAGTATTAACACTGTAAAGCATGACAGTAAAAAAAATTTTAACAACTGCTTTGATAATACAAAGAACTCTCAATCCGAAGAGCGCTCCTTGGAACTACACTGTTCAAGCACCCCAAAGTCAGAAAAAAACGAAGGAAGCAGTATAGAGGATGTACAGACATCCCAGCATGCAACTTTGAAGCCAGAACGAAGTTTTGAGATTCTTACTGAACAGCAAGCATCTAGCCTTACTTTTAATTTAGTGAGTGATGCACAAATGGGTGAAATATTTAAAAGTTTGTTGCAAGGTTCTGATCTTTTAGATAGTAGTGTTAACTGTACTGAAAAAAGTGAGTGGGAGTTAAAGACTCCGGAGAAGCAGTTGCTAGAGACTCTTAAGTGCGAGTCTATACCAGCTTGTACAACAGAAGAGCTAGTTTCAGGGGTGGCTTCTCCATGTCCTAAAATGATTAGTGATGATAATTGGTCATTATTATCATCTGAGAAAGGTCCGTCTCTGTCTTCAGGGCTTTCATTGCCAGTTCATCCTGATGTGTTGGATGAAAGTTGTATGTTTGAAGTGTCTACTAACCTACCTTTAAGTAAAGATAATGTGTGTAGTGTAGAAAAGAGCAAGCCCTGCGTTTCTTCCATACTTTTTGAAGATCTAGCAGTCTCTTTAACAGTACCATCACCTCTGAAGTCAGATGGTCATCTCAGTTTTTTAAAGCCTGATGTTTCGTCTAGTTCAACTCCTGAAGAAGTCATTAGTGCTCATTTTAGTGAAGATGCATTACTTGAGGAAGAGGATGCATCTGAGCAAGATATTCATTTAGCTCTGGAGTCTGATAATTCAAGCAGTAAATCAAGTTGTTCTTCTTCCTGGACAAGCCGATCTGTTGCTCCAGGCTTTCAGTACCACCCTAATCTACCTATGCATGCCGTCATAATGGAAAAGTCCAATGATCATTTTATTGTGAAAATACGACGTGCAACACCATCTACCTCTTCTGGTCTTAAACAGAGTATGATGCCTGATGAATCATTGACATCTTTGCCCAGACATGGAAAGGAAGCTGATGAAGGAGCAGATAAAGAATATATTTCATGTCAGAACACAGTTTTTAAATCTGTGGAGGAATTGGAAAATTCCAACAAAAATGTTGATAACAGCAAGTCAACTCATGAAGAACAGAGCTCTATGATACAAACACAGGTTCCTGATATATATGAATTTCTTAAAGATGCTTCAGGTAAGATGGGTCATCGTGATGAAGTGTCTGATGAGTGTTTCAAATTGCATCAAGTATGGGAAACAAAAGTGCCTGAAAGCATTGAAGAATTGCCTTCAATGGAAGAAATCTCACACTCTGTCGGGGATCATCTTCCAAACACATACATAGATCTAACGAAAGATCCAGTCACTGAAACCAAAAACTTGGGGGAATTCATAGAAGTAACAGTTTTAAATATTGATCAGTTGGGATGTTCTGGAGGCAATTTAAATCAGAGTGCTCAAATATTAGACAATTCTTTGCAGGCTGATACTGTAGGTGCTTTTATTGATTTGACACAAGATGCTTCAAGTGAGACTAAAAATGAAGGTAGTCATCCTGAATTAGCTGTTGAAGACTTGGGATGTGGGGTGATACAGGTAGATGAAGATAATTGTAAGGAAGAAAAGGCACAAATGGCAAACAGGCCTTTGGAGTGCATTGTTGAGGAAACCTATATCGACTTGACCACAGAATCTCCCAGTTCATGTGAAGTAAAAAAGGATGAATTAAAATCAGAGCTAGGATCAAATTATGTTAACTCGGAGTTGCCTGGGACTTTGCATAATGCTCACAAAAAGAGAAGAAACCTTTCTGATCTAAATCATTCTCATAAAAAACAAAGAAAGGAAACAGACTTAACCAATAAGGAAAAGACCAAGAAACCTACCCAAGATTCTTGTGAGAATACTGAAGCTCACCGAAAGAAAGCCAGTAAGAAGAGGGCCCCTCCTGTGAATAAAGATCCCTTATCATTAAAGGCAACCCCAGGGATTAAGGATTCATCAGCAGCACTTGCCACTTCTACGAGCCTTTCTGCAAAGAATGTTATTAAAAAGAAGGGAGAAATTATCATTTTATGGACAAGGTAAGAATCTTGTGAGGCATTTAAATCACCAGGAAATTTTGAGCTCAGAAATCTAATCTGGCTGGCTGGGCACGGTGGCTCATGCCTGTAATCCCAATACTTTGGGACGCTAAGGCAGGTGGATCACTTGAGCCCAGGTCCCAAACCCAGGAGTTTGGGACCAGCTTGAGCAACAAGGCAAATTTATGTCTCTATAAAAAATACAAAAATTAGGGCCGGGCGCGGTGGCTCACGCTTGTAATCCCAGCACTTTGGGAGGCTGAGGCGGGCAGATCACGAGGTCAGGAGATCGAG